AATGAAGCTGTTATTCTTTTCCTTCCCACCAAACAGGTAGCATCTATCTTCCCATTTCCCTTATTTAAGTTTCCCCATTTCTACTTCACATTGCTCAGATTTCTCAAGAGTACAAACTACTTCACACCAAAACTACCTAATGCTTAGCAGAATATTTAAAATTTAAAATATAAAAGTTCTGATACACAGTATGACATTAATAACTTTGAAAATGTCATGCTAAAAAGCACACTTAATTCTCTGATTTCACTTCTATGCAAAGATCTAGAATAGGTAAATGCATAGAGACCAAAACTTATTAGCAGTTACCAGGGGTGAGTGGGAAAGGGAGTTACTGCTTAAGGAGCCATGTGTTTCTGTGAAAGGTGATTATTAAAAAAAAAAAAACACAACTGGAAACAAATAGTGGTGATGGTTGTACATCATAGTGAATAGAATGTCACTGAAGTGTACACATCAAAACAGCAAATACTTTAATATAAGTTGTTGTGCCGTCAAATTGGCTGATTCATAGTGACACTGCATAGTTTCTGAGGAGCGGCTGGTGGATTTGAACAGATGACCTTATGGTTCAAAACTGACTTTCAGCCCAACGCTCATCCTATACCACATTTTAAAAAAAACTAGTGATTTTTATTACAAAAAAATTCTTCTTGTGAAGGACTCTAGGTTATCTACAATGTCACATAAGTTTATACTTCAATTTGAACCATATCAAATAAAGTCCCATTTGAAAGATATGTATCTTTAAAACAATGAAAATAGGTGTAACACTTAAGAATTGAGACCCTTATTCCAATGACTGAACTATTTTTTGATTTTCTTAAAAAAATTTACAGTAGTTTTTAAAGCCTGAGGGCATTTAACATACTCAGACTAGCAAGGACCTAAAACTGTACCCTTTTCAGTTAAAAGGGCTGGAAATAAATTTTTGTGCCTAGCAACCACACCTTTGTAAATAAAATTATAGACTTGCTTAATAAAATGAAACCCAGTCAAGTTAACAAAATCATCATTAGGATGACTCAACTACTGCTGCTGTCATGCTGTTAAAGCATTCAGACATTAGCGGGCAGTTCAAACCCACCAGCTGCTTGCTCAGTGGGACAAAGACTAGCAGTCTGCTCCAGAGACTGACCCCACTCCCAGACATCACCTTTCAACATCACGTTGATGACGCTGAATGCTGTTGAGTTGGTTCTGACTCATATTGATCCTGTATAGACAGGGTTTCTGAGGAGTGGCTGGTGGGTTTGCACTACCAACACTGTGGTTAGGAGTCTAGTACTTGTACTACAGTGCTATTATCAGGATTCCCTATGAAGCACTGTTTACTGGTTCCTCTCCTATGCCTCCTCTATAAAGACAGGAAGCCATTCTTTGCCCTATATGGTCAAGCTTGTACTGCTGTCACGGCTTTTAAACAGTTTCTAAAGACTAAGACTTCTGGTATGGCTCTATAGGATCAGCACTGGACTGCGAACCACAAGGTCGACAATTCAAACCCATCAGCTGCTCCTTGGAAACCCTACAAAGGTTGCTGAGTCGGAACCAACTCAATATCAATTAACAACAACAAAGACTGAAATAAGTGGAAGGATACAAAAGGTAGAATTTTACCTGATTCTCAATATCCACAAGACCCTGCTGTTGTTAAGAATCAACCCTGAGTTGGTTCTAACTCAAAGCGACCCCATATAGGGTTTGAGGATTGGCTAGTGGGTTTGAGCCACTGACCTTGTGGTTAGCAGTCCAGAGTTTATACTACAGTGGGACATTATTATCATTAAACTGACCTCAGTTTTCTCAGGACAAATGTCAACTTTAAGTCTGATTCAATTTTTTTTAGTATGTGTGTCTTCATTTTGTTTTTCATTTCATCATCATACACAAGACGAAAAATGTACTGAATTTTTGGCTGCATGTTTTATAAGTTTATACAGAGGTGTTTGAAGGATCACTAGTGTTGGGCCCCTCCCTCCACCTGCCTTCCCTACAACCAAGAGAGCTTTTGGTCTAAGAATCTGGTAGGAAACGCCGACTACATTAGTACATACAATTGCAATTTAAAATTAAACAGCACAAGATAATGATGAACCCAAAGTTCTTTTGTAAAACACAAAACCCATTATTATGAAAAATGTATAAGTGACCATTTCTAATGGTAATACTCTTCACTCTTCTAAGACCGTAACATAGTCCCCACTCTTTAACAGCTTATTAAATAACATAAAATAAATACTTGATAAATGCAGGTATTCAGTGTAACAGAATGAAGTCTGAGTCATCACTAATGCCATCATCTAAAGACATTAACTATGTAAGAGAAACACGTGCTATTTTTAAACTTAAAATTAGAACTTTACTATATATTAAAATATAGGCAAATTAACGCACACAAGCATGCAATGTTACTGATCCTCAAGAACAAAGAATCTTTTTTCCCTTCTTATTTTATTAGAAACTAGGGGAAGAAAGATTTTATGCAAGATGTTTCCATAGCCAACAGGCCCCTCCTGGAAAAAACTAGTAAGGAAAAGAAGTATTTATATAAAGAATCAGTGTCAGAATATCCAATTTCTTATAACTGAAACAGAAAAAAGACTGAAAATAAACAATGCTGCTGGCCTAAATCTTTTACCTTACTCACTTAACAAACACCAGTGCATCTCCTATATATTCAAAGGGCATGAATCATGCAAAGACCTCTAACAAAGCTTTACAAATCTTGAAAGAACCAAGGCTGGAAACAAAAGCTTGTTTAGAATCCTCCAGCCTTTCTAATATAGTTTAAAGGAAAAAAAAAAAAAAAGTTTAATTTATGTAAATTACCCAAATGGACATTCCATTTAAACTGTGAGAAGTCAGTGCTCTTTTGAAAAACAACATAGCTAGTAACCAGTTTATCAACCCCCTTAAAAATCTTATCAACGAACAGAAGCTATTTAGAAACTAATCTATTCATTAACATCTACTCACTCTATGCAATATATTTTTCCTTTGATAATGAAACCTGAACGAAGTTAAAAATGCTAGGCTTTTCCTAGGAAAGTCCTCACACTAATAGCTTTTATACTGGTGTGTGGGAAACATGCAAATACCTACCTGAGATCACAAAACAGCTTACTAATAGAGGATAAATGTTAACATGCCCTCTTCTATCTCTAAAATAAATTTGTCTTAAGGGAAAATTATTATCTGTAGCAAGTCCTTTGAAACCAAAATAAAAGTTATGAGACCTATCAAGTATAATTGGGAGAAAAACACCACACTCAACAAAATTCAATAGCATGCTGAAAAAGTCAAGTTAGTAAAGCACTCGGGGGGGGGGATAGGTAATATAGAGAAGAAAAAAAAAAAAAAACTAAAAAATTTTAAAACATGATTGCCTTAGTAAATCACAAGAAAAACATTTCATTTAGCCTCAGTAACAGCATAGAATTACTCTTCTCATCAGAAATAAACAACTGCCAATGTGTCCAAGATAAATGCCACCTGAAACTCTGCAGTAACATCAAATAAGATTAAAAAAGTATTGTTAAAAAAGGTGTTTTGAGAAAATGTTTAATTTAAAATTGAAGCGATTCCATTAGTAACTAAAGACTTATTGCAGTTATGCGCCATCAAGTCATTTCTGACTCATAGCCACACTGATAGGGTTTCCAAAGAGTATCTGGTGGTTTTGAACTGCGAACCTTATACTTAGCAGTCTAGTACTTAACCTACAGTGCCACACTCTAGAGATTAAAGGAATCAAAAAACTATCACAACTTGAGTAACCCAAATCCATAACCATATCAGAAATAGTCCTACATTGATTGATTTTTATAGTTCTTCCATGAACAAAGCTCAAATATTAAAGGCAACCATTTATAAAACTGCCTCATTCCAGACTCATTAAAAGACAAAGTACTGCTATATACAGGATATTATATGCTGATTGGCTGGATCATCTAGCAGTTAATCCTCAAATTTAAACTGTTTAGTGTTAGAAAATCATTATTTCTGAGTCAGATAAAAATTAGCCAAGACATATTGTTTAATTAGTTTAAGCTTTTAGGTATGCATGGAGCTTCAACATAGCAGATGCTGAAATTTTAAATATTTCTTGATTCAATCTACAAAAATCAAACTTGAACTATTTATAACCTTTCTCATGATTTTAAGTGTTCAAAGTTACTTCTAATATCTAATTGCAGGAAAAGGCAAAAGCTGTAATGCAAGGCTGATTCATTAACATTATAGCATGTGTCTAAGAAGGGGTACTATGTCTATTATGAGTCTGTTACATTTCTCTTACATAAAACAAAATATGCAAAACCCCTGTAACCATCTATGTATGTGCCAAACCAAAAACCAAATTCATTACTACTAGGTTGATTCCAAGGAGTCCTGGTGTGGGTACTATAGGACAGACCACTAATGGCTAAGTTGGTGGTTTGAACCCACCAGCCACTATTCCCAGAAACCCTATACAGAGTTGCTATGAAGCAAAATGGATCCAACTTCACTTAAGAAGTTCACTGTGACTTATAGTAACCCTAACAGAGCAGAGTCAAACGGTCCTATAGTGTTTCCAAGGCTGGAATCTTTATGGATGTGGAGAGCCCCATCTCTCTTCCTAAGACCAGGTGGTGTATTCCAACTGCAGACCAATGCTTAGCAGTCATGTACTTGAACAATTAGGCCAGCAGAAGTACTCCTTCCATATGTGCACATCGAAAAAAATTAACTCGACAACTATTAGAATTGAAATTATGTTAACAATTTATCTTTCCAATTTTAAAAACCAAACCAACAGTCTATTACTTTTATCAAAATCTATAATCTTACATTTGTCATACCAGCTTATTTCAGTAAGGTTACCAAGACTTCTAAATTTAGAATGCTCAACTTTTAAAAGAAAAAGAAGAATAGTGAAAGAAAAAGTTGAGAGTACTGTAACTGTAGGAAACCTTTATTAAAATGAAGCTAGAGATGCTAAACTGAATGTTTCTTACCAGTACATCATTGCAGATATCTCTTAGCTCCGTCTCAATTTTCTCTCTGTATTCTCGAGCCATCTGCTGTTTTTTCTCAGCACCTTCCGTCTTTTGCTCAATACTTGAGACGACCCTCCAAGATGACCTACGGGCTCCTACAACATTTTTATAAGCAACTGAGAGAAGATTCCTCTCCTCATTGGTTAATTCAGCTCCTTGCTCAGTTACAGACTTCATGCAGGCTGCCATGTCATCATATCGTTCAGCCTGCTCAGCCAGTTTGGCCTTTTGCACCAGCTCATTTTTATCCATGACTGGATGTTCTGCAGGGGGAAAAATAGTAGCATTTAGTTAATTTTTCCAACAAAATAAGACTCAATTCATACCTGTTGTAAATAACTTACATAAACACTCAAAGGATGAACAAAATAAAACAAAAAGCGTATGTGTAGGGGCTAAAATTTCATTATCTCATCTTTGTTCAGCAGATCCTCATTTTCAAGTAAGTCAAAGCACATTTGATCAAGAGGCTATCTTTAAATCCTACACTTGACCAAAATCTCAAATCCAATGACTAATAGCACCAGTAATTCCAAATTTAGCATCTTTCCTTTTTTTTACTGAAAATAAAGCCTTCAAAATTGAAATTTTTATCATGATTCCCATTAACTAACTTAATGTAATTTATGGCATTCTGATTCTCTTAATTATCACCCCACCTCAAATCTACTGGATCTTTTCAACATTTGCCAGTTGACCAGACCATGGCAATTTCCTGGAAGAAATGACCAAATTGCTGTAACGTATGAGTCATCGGGCTGCTAACTCAAGGTCAGCAGTTCGAAATTAACAGCGTTCAGACTATGGGTCAGAATCAACTCCATGGCACACCAACATGATACTTTGAATGCAAAATATAACCATGAAGCATCAATAACTAACTGACTGACTCTAAGGCCTCATGAACCTGTACCTTCACGTTTATTTTAGTTATCCACGATGGAGACCAGGAACCTCAATTCTAGAAATGTTAAAAGCCCACACTGAGAGAATTTAATATTAATATCTTCTATTGTTTCCAATAAGGAGCTCTGGTAGCGTAGTGGTTACGAATCGGGCTGCGAACCTTAAAGTCAGAGGTTCAAAACTACCAGCCGCTCCGCGGGAGAAAGATAAGGCTTTCTACTCCCGTAAAGATTTACACCCTCGGAAACCCTGTACAGGGTCGCTATGGGTCGGAACCGACTCGACGGCACTTAACAACAACAACAACAACAACAATTGTTTCCAATATTACCATCCCAGTTTAAACAAAATATTGCATTGTTTTAGTAATCACATCTTAAATTTTATCACTCAAGCTGCGTATTACCAACCATGACTACTTACCTAACTTTCTCTAATTTTAAAGCTCACTAGATTTTTCATTGTACCTCTGCCTATACACTATTCTTTAATGACATTCTTTTTAAATGAATTAAAAGTACAGTAAGAGCAGCACTACTAAATTAAAAGGTGAACCGTGGAGCCTGTCACCATGGGAATTGATTCCCGCTATATAGATTCTTTAAGGAGCTCTGGTAACAGTGGTTTTGAATGGGGTTGCTAACCTTAAAGTTGGCAGTTCGAAACTACCAGCTGTTCTGCGGGAGGAAGATGAGCCTTTCTGCTCCCGTAAAGATTTGCAGCCTTGGAAACCCTGTGCAGGGTCACTATGAGTCGGAACCAACTCCACAGTATTTAACAACACCCCCCCCCCCCCCCCCCCCCCACACACACACACACACACACGAGATCACATCTCTCCTTCCCTCCCCGGAAAATCAGAATAAACCAACCAAAATAAAACCTATTGCCGTCGAGTGGATTCCTACTCTTAGGTCCCCAGTATTTAAACAAATAATCAGCTAGCTACCCTGGGTATAGGATATGCTGTTCCAAGTAATTTTGTTGTTGTTAAGTGCTGTCGAGTCGGTTCCGACCCATAGGGTCTCCTAGGATTCTATTTCAAATTTAGTATTCAATCCCCCCTCGGTTCTCGAAATCATTTTCCCTCTAGGAACTCAGAAAGGCTCACTAGATGATGATGTTTCTACCGAAAGAGCATTTAAAATCGGTAGAAAGGTTTTTCTCCCCAACCCTCCTGTACAAGAGGAAGTGGATTCGATTTCTTACTAATGCTCCAAAAGGCCTTGCCTCTACAGCGCGGGAGGGCCTGCCGCACCCATTTAACCCTTCACCGACTCAAGATGTCACGTTGGGTGAAACTAGAACGGCAGACGGAGACTTTAAGTAGAAACCCTTCGGTCTGCACTACCCCCTTTTCTTGGCTCCGCCCTAGCTGCTGCCTCGGCTCCAGTCGCCGACTCTCCCTCTTTGTCATGGCGGATCTGTGTCAAGGAGCCCAACCTACCGCAGAGTGTTAATCCGCCCCCACCCAAGCCCGAGCCAGAGGGAGGAGCCGTGGGCGCCCCCGCCCGCCCGGGGACCGAGACGCCAGCGCTGCCCGCAGAAGCGGAACCACTACCAATTCGGCCGTGGACACACCCCACTCTCGCACCCGGTGTCTCGGCCACCGCTGTGGGGGGGCCCCTTTCTACAGCCCACCAGGACCCCCAACAGCTGCGGATGGGGGAGGGGGCGCGGGCGAACCACACCCAGCCGAGATCTGGGCTACCACCGGCTGTTCTGCTCCGGTGCAGCCGCCCCACGGAAGCACGACCTGCGACCCAGTTGCAGTCCTTCCGGTGGACGATCCAGTGCCCCGGTGCTCCCCGCCCCCTTCAACCCCTCCCCCGCCCGTTCCCCAAGAGAAAAGCCGCTCCCATCCCCCAACCAACCGGGAACTCAGGTCCTTCCTCTCTCCACCACGAAACCCAGGAAACCCAGCTCCAGGCTCGCCCCACCCCGCAGGCTCCCAGGCCGCGCTGACAGCTCCGGGCAGCGCCCCCTCCCCGCGCCCGCCGCCCGTGGTGGGGGAGGGCCGGCCGCCGCAGCGCCGTGCAGCCGAGCAGGCGGGGGATGGGCGCGGGGAGGGGGCGGCCTCACCTGCGCCACTGCAATGCCTGCAGTCCGCGGGGGCAAAAGCGGGGCTCTGGGGGTCACAGGGACCAGTCGGGCCCCGGGGTGCTTGGGCAAGAACCCCGCGGCTGGGTGAATCCCCGAGGATCTCGTGTATGGGCGCGTTTTCCACCCCCAGGGAGTGGGCGCGAGGGAAAAGAGATTCTTGGGGCCGAGTCGTTGATCCGGAAGCAAGTGCCGGCGGCAGCCGCGAGCTACCCGCCCGAATCCAGCGGAAGAGAAGCCGCCGCCCGTCTCCGCCAAAGGAGACTCCGCCTCAGCCCAGCGCCTCTACCGCGGGGCGAGGAGATGGGGAGCGGGAAAAGCGCCCACGCTTTCGGAAGGCTTGTCTACTACAGGAAGGAATGGGGCGCGGCGGGGGCGGCGGTCGGGTCCCTTACCTGTGTCCGGAGTGGGTGGCGGCGGGCGGACGGGGACGGGGGAATCAGCAATCTCTGGGCGGCGGCAGCGGCAAGGCTGAGACTCTGTCCCTCGATCTCGCTGCTCACAGGCTACAGCCGCTCCGCAGACACGGGGTTTCCTCCAATCACCGGCCCCGGCAGCAGGGGCACCACACGCACGATGACGTCAAACGCTGCTATGGCAACCGTTGATTGGTGCCCACAATTCTGGGGGCCTAGTGCAACCGCCGCTCCCTAGCGCGTGCGCGCCCTGCCCGCCCGCGCTAGAGGGCGAGCTCAGGGAACGCGCGTCTTCTCCCGCTACCCACGCTCCGCCCTGCTGCCCTCTGAAGCCAACTTCACTCTTGTCGCGCGCGCCCCAGGACAGGAAGCTGCTCTTTTTTGCTTCCCTACCACTAACCCCCTAGTTCGCCTTCCCCCTCGGATCCCTACACCCTTTTTATCTCCCCGCAACCTCCGACTTGCTTTTCCTCTCCACTAGCGAAAGGAAATCTCACCCCACCCCCACCTTAGTTTGGCGTTCGGTCCTCTTGCGCCTGCGTCAGTCACTCCCTTCAGAAAGGGCCCCAGTTCAGCAACATCCGGGACCTTTCACATTCCCCCCACCCCTCCCCCCTGCTTGTCTCGCCCCGCCCGCCTGCCCGCCCGCTGTGCAGCGCGGTGGTAACTGCCCCGGGGACCGGCCGGGAACTGGATTACAAGAGCGTGACTCTGGGCTCGGGCATTATGATCGGGATGGTGGGCAGGGCGCAGTCAGACGGTCAGGGAGGGGCGGCGTTGCGTGCAGTCCCCCCCTCCTTGCTCCCGGCCGCTCCCTGTCGGCCAGGCAAGGCCGACCTGGGCACGCGGCCCCACCCTTCCGCCCTTCAGCCGCCTTGGGTTTACCTGCTGGCTCCGGGGAAAGTGGTCTTAGCCCTTTTAAGGTTCGAAAAAGACAGTGAGACGTCGGCCCCCGGGCCCCTGAGTATGGCTGAGCGCTGAGCGACGGGGACGTGTTCCAATCAGGATCTCCGGATCTGCGCCCTAGGACAGCCACGAGGGGACAATGGGTGGGCGCCGGAGGGAGTGGGGGTGAGGTGGGTCGGGCAAAGCTGGTGGGAGGTGAGGCCTGCTGGGAGACGCTGCCAATGACAGAAAGCCCGCAGTTCCCGAGAGAGAAAAAGACAGTCTGAAATGGGGGGATTTGAGGCGATCGCGAAAGCCTCCAAAAGAAGGAGACAGGCCCAGCTTTGAACACTGACTGATTGCTCATAGATCTTTCTGTCCCAATAAAGCTGTTACTTGAAGACTTCACACTGCAGTGATTTAAAACGTAAAGATGATTCCACTGGATAAAGCTTTCAGAGACGTGGGAGTTCCCATGGTCTCTGTTTTTCCCAGCTGGCGATGGAAATGGGTCGCAAGCAGGGTGAAGGGTGGGTGGGGACCAGGAGACCAGTAGAGGGGGAAGAAGGGTGGCCAGTGGCGGAAATTGCAGGTGCTGCGCAAATATACCAAATATACCAACATAAAACGGTAAGGCCTCCACCAAGACAAGGAAGTGCAAAGAGACACACAGCTCAATCAAATGTCTCAGCCCTCGTCCAAATTTGTTAGAGCTAAGAAAAGACTAGTCCTTGGGTGACCTGCAAAAACCACTTACTAAAGTCACATTGCAATGACAACTGGGAACTCTCCTATACTTTGTAAGCTCCATCTTGGCCTCATTAATTTTCCAACGTCTTTCCTGAACACTTACTACCGGCCTGCTTTGGGTACATCTGACAAGAGTGCAACCTCATTACAGCTATGTAGAGACTGGATTTCTCACTAGCAGACACACAAAAGGATTCCTATCCCTTCCAAGCACCTCATCTTTCTGGATGATGGATACAGTGGGTCACAAGACTCTTCTACAAAATACCTTTTACCTGAAGTCAGAGCTGGCATTTATATAGTACAGATTAAGGACAAATGGCACTTAAGCCCCATCCCTTTTATTTGTACATCTTGCTGATAGTAATATGTGCTACATGCAATGCTGCAGCACTAATCTATGAGTTGATGTATAATATTTCTAACCCCCAAAGACAAATGAGTCCTGGTGTGGCACTACGGGTAATACACTGGACTGCAAAGTCGATGGTTCAAGTTCACCAGCTGCTCCTCAAAAAATCCTATACAAGGTCGCTAGGAGTCAGAGCTGACTCAACAGCACTTAACAAAGACAAATGAAGATCAGATTGATAAAGATACTACTACAAAGAGGCAATAATAATGAAACTAAAAAGAAAATGATATTGCACTTAATGTCATTACTTACCACTGAGTCCTCTGAACAGAACTCCTTCATAAATCAGGAACTACCTGAGAAGTGTAGCAGACAGGGGAGACAGTTTGCAAGTGACCAGTTTAATTTCAGTGTTTTTTATTTCCCCTCAAATTTCAGAGATGTTAAGGTTACCTTTCGTTGACTTCCAAGTCTTTTAGTCAGTGACTCATTTAAAATGACTAATATATCAATTTTTTTTAAAGTTGCTTCCAGTTTTGTGCTAGGTACCAGAAATTTGACAGGATGTTAAATCTTTGTTAAAATGAAAATGGGCATTTCTTACATGTCTCAAGTACATGCCTATGTAGAACATATGTCATTTAGAGAAAGCAGCTTTATCTGTATTAGTAAATTGTGAATTTAGGAAATAGGTAAGTTAGGATTTTGTAGCCTGCTTTAAGTAGCAAGACACTTTTTAGTGAAATAAGAGCTGTTAGGTTTTACCCACTTAACATGTTCATGGGATACAGGTGTAATGAGATTGCAGAGAAGCAAACAGAATGTCATGAAAATCCTGAGGGAAAAGCATTTTGAGGAATAAGAAACAATCTGTGGTAATAATAAGCAGACCTGAAAAAGTAGAACTTATGAACTTGAACTCAGCAAATTAGTTAAGACTTTCACTAGTAGTCTGACCTGTTTGACTTTCTTCACTGCTCAGCTTTGTTACCTCAGCCAAGTTGCTCAACATCTCCATGCCTTGATTTCCATATCAATAAAATACTGCTAATAAAAGCGTTTACCTGATTAGGTGGTGCTGAGGATCAAATAATATACATAAAGTGGTCAGCGACATCCCAAGCACAAAGTAAGCATTCAATAACTTAGCTATCATTTGTTTGTAAATGGATATATCTGGTGTCTCTGCCATTTAAAGAGCTGATAAGCACTGAGCTGGGAATCATAAGGTCAGCGGTTCAAACCCACCAGCTGCTCCTCGGAAACCCTATACAGGGTTGCTATGAATTGGAACCAATTCAACAGCACTGAACAACAAGAAGATATATTTAAAATACATTTTAAGGTGTGAGGTATAAACATGTTTACTCTGGAAATCAAATTGGTTTTAGTTAGCCTGTGTCTCCGTTCTCTAGTGCTGATAAGACAGAAATACCACAAGTGGATGGCTTTAACAAATGTATTCTTTCACAGTTTCGTTGTTGTTAAAGTGTTGTTGAGTCGGTTCTGACCCATAGCAACTCTGTGTAAGGTTTCCGAGGAGTGAATGGTGGGTTCGAATCTATGACCTTGAGGTTCAAACTGACCATGTGATCCAGAGCATTATCCTGCGCGAAGTCAGATTTCTGGAGTCTAGGAGTCTTAATTCAGCATGCTGGCTCTGTTAGGGGCCATTGAGTTGGTTCCAACTCCTAGAGTTTCCTTATATACAACAGAATGAAACACTGCCCGGGGCACACACTTGTTATATCTAAGCCTGTTGTTGTAGCCATTGTGTCAGTTCATCTCACTGAGAATCTTCTCAGTGACTTTAGGGGAAGGCTTTCTATCTCTGGGATCTGGAGGAAGGTCCTTGTCTTTTCAACAACTGTGGACAGTGGGAATCTCCATGTGTCTTGACCTTCCCTTGGCTCTAGGAGCTTCTAGAATGCATCCAGCTCCCAGCTCCTCTGATCCCTGCTGGCTTGTTTACTCTCTTTTATATTTCTGTAAATTGTGTTCTGTCTCATTAATATCATAAAGGTTAGGATTTACAACATACAGGATAATTATATCAGTTCACAAAATGGAGGAAAATTACATAATACTGAGAATCATGGCTGAGCCAAATCAACAAATATTGTCGGGAGACACAATTCAATCTATAATTGTCTAATACTAATGAGACAGAAGTGATGAGATGTTGATCATGGATCCATTCCTGGGAAGGATGCATCTCTCTTCAGATCTATGCTATGCAGTAAAGCTATGTATTGTATGCTATGCAGTAAAATGGGAAAGAGTTTAATTAGCATAAATCCATCCGACTATTGATGTGATGCTTACATGATCTTGGAAGTGTAATCTGTTTATAAACTCTCTTTTACACTGTGATTGCATTGGAGAAATGCAGCATAGTCCAGTGGGCTGTGGAGTCAGAACTAAGTAAAAATCCTGGTTCTGTCGTCCACAGCTCTGTGGATTTAGGATACTAAACTGGATATACTAACACCCGCTCTGTCTGATGACTAGGATTGAGTGAGAAAGAGAGGGTTGCGTATAGTGCAATATACCATGATTATCTGTTGTTGGGAGAGCCAGATGTTTGAGGCAGAGGCATGCCAGCCATTCACCAAACTCATCTTTCTCCCTGGAGCCACTGCTGCACTCCATTGCCCAGTCTCCCTTGCAGGTAGGTGTGGCCGTTTTACTGAGGCATGATAGAAGTGAAGTGCTTGATTCATGGGTGTGATCTATAAAGCCTCCCTTATTCAAACCTTTATTTCACCCCCTATATGCTAGTTATGAGATGGGCTGCTAACCACAAGGTCAGCAGTTCAAATCTACCAGCTGCTCCGTGGGAAAAAGATGAAACTTTCTGCTCCCATAAAGATTTACAGCCTCAGAAACCCTATACAGGGTTGCTAGAGGTCGGAACCGACTCCACAGCTCATCACCACCACCACCACCAGATGCTAGTCGAATGAAGAAGATTCCAGGATCGTAGAGAAGGGTGTACCCATAAAATGAAAGGAGTCTGGCACCCTAAAGAACCCTAAAGAACCTTAAAGCCTGCCCCACTCATATTGGACTTTAATGATGGATAATCTTTTTTAA